GGGGTCTTTGGCAAAAAGCTATTTGCAACCTCCAGTTCCTCAGCCCGAAGTCAGACGGCATCCTTGACGCCCAAAAGAGAACATGATGGCTTCTTTGCTGGGCCGTAATTGTTATAGTAGGGATGCAGTGAGGGACCATAGTCTTGAAAACCTACCATATGATGTGGTACAAAACTCTTTCCATACATTGAAAAAACAGATGCTTGCAACACCAAGCTTCTCCACAAGCTCCCCAGCAGGGCAGGCACCCGAACCGACAATGGTGTACTTGTGGGCGAGAATTTTCGTCTGCGAGTCTGGGTAAAACATCGGGTCTCCGCCGTACCTGGTTGAGGGTCTAGGGTCCCGAGGTTGGATCGTAGCGCTGCATGATTCCTTTAAGGGTCAAAGGACCCAGATAATAGGGTTTTAGGGCCCAAATACCATTAATATCATAGTATTTGAGCCCTAAAACCCTATTATTTAGGTCCTTGGACCCTTAGGATTCTAAACTGTATCACTATGCATCTTTAAGGCACATGCTGACATCCCCATGTGTACCTTCGCCACTGTACTTCAGAACCCCTACAAACACCCAGTACTACAGTGGTTAACCATAAGGGAGCGAGCTTATCGTGGTTGAGCGTTCGGGTTTTGAAACCTTTTAAGAAAAGAAAGGATCGCTTCATGAGGCTTCTCATGCCTTGAGGCCATGCATCTCGGGCGCATATAGTTGAGGGCAAGCCATTCTCATCAGCTGAGCCGTGAACATTTGAGAGCTAACACAGTCAGCCTATGTCCTGCTTATGAGGCTCACGATGTTCGCAGGCCGCATCGTGCAGAAGGCTTGAAGCTCCCGCCTTTTAACGTTGCCATCTTCTCGCGCTAGTCTTAAGACGGAAGTCACAATGCCTTCGCTCAAGTCCCTGAGCAGGTGCACAGCATGAGTGGTTTGCATGGAAGGTTTGGGGCTGAGGGTTGTCGGGTCCTAGACCGCATCTCGGATGGCCTACAATTTGATGAAGGCAACCTCTGAACCAAACAACCGAATTGGAATACGTGCGCAACAGGCCTGTCACGACTCGGGCCCACATGGACCTTAAGCCTTAAAGCCCTGCAACCCCATTTTGGGTTCAGGACTTACAAGGCCTGGAGACAAAAAGCCCGTCACAAGACGCTTGCATGAGCTATAGACTCCAGCTCCTCGAAACTCCTTCCATGTTCAGGGAAGGAACCCACTTTAGGTACATTAAGGCTGTAGATCTCTAGGGCTCCAAATAGCCCAATGTAGGTAATATGTACAGACTTTAGGGCCCAATGTAGGTATTATTTGTATACTTGGATCTTTATAGGGGACAGCCTGACGTAATAGAGAACCAAGGTACCGGGAGTTGCAAGGGCACTCCAGGATTCCACTGTAGTTCGTATCCTTTGGGATCCCGAGGCCATACCTCGGCCCAGCTTCGTCTTCAAGAACTTAGAGTTGAGAGTTTAGAGTTTAAGGTTTAGTGTTCCAAGGTTTAGGGTCTAAGGTTTAGGGTTTACGGTCCAAGTCAGAGGAACTTAGTAAGTATACCTTATATGACCCCAAAAAGCGATATAGTGACCCCAGCTGTCCTCGCTCTTCAAGTACCTATGAAATTCCCCTGAAACCCAAGTAAGGGTCGGAGTATCCCAATATTGGGGTGTTGGGTCCCAAATACTGAAATCTACAGGGTATTTTGGACGTAAAGCACCAGTTGTTTGGGTACCTGGATCCAGAGGGAAACCGCGAGAGGATTCCTGAATTTCCTATAGCCCCTAGACCACCCCATTATTCCAAGCTCACCTCAGCGTGCAGGTCTGGTGATCAAGATCCCCTATGGGTCTGAAAAAGGAATGTCCCAGCACCGGGTGTAGGATAGAAACTCTAGAGCCAAAGAAAAATGCAGCACACCTGCACAAATCCGAAACTCTGTCCCTCAACCCCCGCTAACCCGATCAGCTCCTTAACCTAGCTGCTGAGCTTCTTATTTTAAAGCTCTAAGCTTTAACCATATGCGTGTATGGATATATATATATAGATATATACATATACATACATCCTTTTACATATGCGTATACCCCGTAAAAGGCAAAAGATTAGGTAGCCAGCTACTGCTGACTGTCCAAGTACCCAAGAAATATCTAACTTGGGCTTACTGTGCCAAGCTGGGAATTCTTCTGGGCCCTAAGACCTAAACCCTAAAGCCCAAGTTAGTGTTTAGGGTTTAGGGTTTAGGGTTGCCCTTGTGGTACTTGGACCCTCAGGGCAACCCTTGCACCTGAAACACCAAAACCCCTACAACCGTAAATCCTCAAACCCTAAATCCCTAAACTCGCTAAACCCCCAGACACTAATCCCCAAAACCCCCTGAACCCCAAACCCTTAAACCCTAAAACCCTTAACCCTAAACCCTTCAACCCTAAAACCCGTAACCCCAAACCCTTAAACCCTAAACTCCAAACCTCTGAACCCCTAGACCCTTAAACCTCTATAAACCCTAAGCCCTGAATCCCAAAATCGAGTCGAGAATCCGAGCCTGCTTTGGCTCAGGGCCTGGGGTGAACTTCGTGCCTTCATTGCTCAAATCAGGTTTAGGGTGTAAGGTTTAGGGTTTAGGTTTAGGGTTTACGGGTTTAGGGGTTTAGGGTTTATGGGTTTTAGGGTTTGGGGTTTTAGGGTTTAGGGTTCAGGGTTTAGGGTTTGGGGTTGAGGGTTTACATTTTGGGGTGTGGGGTTTGGGGTTTAGGATTTGGGGTTTGGGTTTGGGGTTTGGGTTTTAGGGTTTAAGGTTTAGGGCTTAGGGGGTTGGGGGGATTAGTGTCTTGGGGGGTTTAACGTTTGGAAGTTTAGGGGTTAAGAGCCTAGGTTTCCCAAAATTAGGGTGACATGGAAACCTGTGTTTTGGGTTGAAGGATACGATGCTAACATAACGTGGTCCCTACAGTTTTCTCGGGTTATATAGGGGTCATGTGGGGTGCAATAGGTGCTATATGAGGCTTATGCAGGGTGAGATGGGTTTAAATTGGGGGTTGTGTCGGGTGATATATGGAATTATAAGGGCTATGGTGCCTTCAGCGCTAAGAAGGAATGGACAAGAAAACGGGCACCACTGCCTTGTTTAGGGTTTAGGTTTAGGATTAAGGGTGTAGATTACTACATTCTTTCAACATCCAGGGTTTAGGCTACTACAGCTGTTAGGGTCTAGGGTTTGGGGCTAAGGGGCCCCGTAGTAATTAGCTAGGTCAGTCAAAGAGGATAACTGACCCTACTATATAGCTTGTGAGACTTCTGCCATGGCACTCGGTCCAAAACTTGCCGCAGATGTGTCACAATGCTGACAGAGGGCTTCTAAATTGATTTATGAACCCTAAACCCTACACCCAATTCTCCAGATCCTCCACTTACCAGTTTCATGGCTTTTGTTCAGGGCGTTGGCACCTTGGGCTTTGCGAGTTTCAGGGCTTAGGCGCATCGGAGTTTTGAGGTGCCAGAGTTTGGGAGCAGGTTTAGGGATTGGTCTTTCCAAACTTAATGGAATAGAAAATGACGAGGGAATACCAAAAACGGAGACTCCCACCCAGTATGGAGGATCCACAACTTCCTAAACTCAAAATGAGACGCTTGGACTGAAAATTCACGTTTCGTTCGGTATTACTACCACGCGAACTAAACTAAACTCAGCACTTAAAAGCTTGCTCATGAAAAATAAGGTGCAGTTCGTGATGCTGGCAGGGGTGACCCCGCAATCGCGATTGCGGGTGTCGATTTGCATCGGGGTGATGTGCCAAAGGTTGGGAGACCTGAGCCAATATCGAACCTGGGGGTAGGGTTGAAGGGTATGGGGTTTGGGTTTTGGGTACAGAGCCTAGGAATTAGGGCTTCGGATAGGGTTTAGGGCTAGGGTTCCCTCTGTAACCCCACGTACATAATCACATAATCTTGAGCTCTGAGTTTATAGAATGTACCTACATTGGGCCCGAAGGTCTGGAAGTATTACCTACCTTGGGCGATTCGGAGCTACAGGGTAAGGTTAGTAGCAATTGTCCCCTGGTTAGCAGGTACAGGTAAAACGCTACAGTTGAAGGTAGGCCAGTACAAACAAAGAGCCTGCTTGCTCCTGTGTCGATTGGGAAGTTTGTTGGCACAATTGTAGGTCCTTGTTCATGCCGCAATTAGGTTCTGAACTCCCCTGATCAAGATAAACTTCAACCTTTGACCAGGGCGATCTTTGGTGCGTTGTCGGATCCTCAGAGATATCAAACGAGACTACCCAACCAACGGTGACTACCGCATGGTGCGACTACAGACGAGAGAGCTGTAGTAGACAGGATCTGACAGTTCCGTAAATAAACTTCTCCGAGGTTGTAAATGCACTGATCATTACACGCGCGACCGGCCAGCTACCGACAAAGCTACTTGGATGTTCACAAGACCTATACTCTCTGGATTTTCGGGTAAAAGAGCTAAGTGAGATACGCTCCAAGGACTTCTGCTCTCCATGTTTGGCTTGCTGCCTGCCACTGCTTCCTTACCTCGGGCTCCCTAGTATGGATTATTTTGTATAGGGGCTATGTAGGGATTATGTAGGGATATTATTCCCCTATACTGGAGAATCAAATGCAACATAAAATGGAAAATGAAATTAAATGAAGGGTTAAGGTGAAATGCCTCACAAACCTGTAGGTTCTGCCAAACTTCTGCACTGTGTCAATACATGTCAGTACCATGTTAGTCTTTGAAATTCTGGACACAACATAAATTGACGTTCTGATGGTCGCGCACGGGAACTTAACTGTATACAAACGAATTCTTCCTCCAAAGACTCCTTGATTTCCAAAGCTCGGAAGGGGGACTCGATGAGCTGAGCATAGCCATCTGGATAGCCATGGAAGGATTTCCGTGACTCGCCACCTTAGGAATCGTGAAGATACATGTGCAGCGAAACAAGTGTGTTGATGCGGAAAAAAATGAGTTTGATACTGGAGCTACCGTGCTTACCGTTTCGATCTTGATGCTGAAGCCCCTGCAAGAGCCTAAGCCCCTTTCACTCCGGAATTACGATAGGATCGAACAGTGTTGCGCAGGAACCGTATAAACAACAGCAATCAACGGCACAGTAGATATGTCAAGAGTCCATCTTTCCACCAATGCTGTCATGCATTTCCGGGCCCTAAACGTCAGTCCTCGTGCGCATGGCCGCAATAGCATTATAGGGCTCAATCATACCTGAACAACAGCACGTTGCTGCATCGACACTCGACATGCAGAAAGCCTTCCCACTCTATGGACGCTTGCAGGGCAAACTTTATACACAAGTCACACGACAAAAACTAGGTCGTGGGTGACCCTATGCGGATATGCATGTGTGGTGTTTGCAATGCACGCACCGCGCCCCACGTAAAACGATGTCTACAACCTACAGAAGACCGTGCGGCGGGGCATTCTGGCAAGTATCTTGCGTATGCTGGCAAGGAACTCCAGCCTGAAAAATCAGCTACATGTGAGTGCGCTCGAGAACTTATGGAGCACACTGCTCGTACGAATGCTTGAAATATCAACAGAGTGTTGTCATGAAACCCAGTCGTCGAAAAAAACTGAAAACTATGCAGACATTTCCCACCAGAAATCCAAGAAAACAAGCTCGGCGTTGGCAAAACCTTTCAAAAACACAGAATTTAAAAACGACTGCACCGTCTACATCCTAATTCCTCGAAAGTATCATTGTAGTCCCTACATGATCCCGTAAGAGACTGGGACCCGAAACCCCTAACTACCCATGAGCCTGCATTTTTTAGCATCCCAGTCACCATTGCCCTCAGAGAAGAATTGGGAAGTCGGAATGGTTGGATCTTGCCGGAGGGCAGCCGATGGCCTGTTCAGGGCTTCATGTTCAAACCCCCAGACTTTTCAGTTCTAGTGTTTCATATGAGCGTCTAAACTCCTTAAAGGGATTATTTCTCGCGGAATATTATAGGGGTTCATCAAGGCGGATAGTAGGAGTCTAGACTATAGCGCATATAAGGATTCAGATTCAACATCAAAAAACTGAAGGTCTTTTGGCCAACTGTAATTTAGAAAAGACAAACAACATGCCATATCGAAACCCAGCACCCTGACCCTGACAAAGCCTCGAAAAGCTTCCATGACCTGTGCCGAGCCCAACGAAACCCATGTCAAACGCAATCAGGCAACCGCCACCTGCCAGTCTAGGGTGACCCAAACCCTGAGCCCTACACACCCCCAAACCCAAACCCTATCAACCCTAAACCCCAAACCCTATCAACCCTATAGAACCCAAACCAACCCCAGGTCAATGGGCCTGTCCACGGCAACCCACTTGGTGCTGGCTCCGTGCGCCATGGGATCTCCTGCTTGCAAGGTTGGGTGAGGGTTCAAGCTGGGTACTGCTCCCACTCCACTGCTTGGAGGGTCATGAGGGCTTAGTAAATAGGAGAATAATTAGGATAACTTCGGATACTATATGGGTTATAGGGGTTCTTAACCTACTTACGAAGTCCCCCCGATCCTGCAAGCGTTGGAAAATTAATCTAATATGAATACATATAGCTCAGGGTGCAGGTACACTTGAATGCTTCTAGTCCTTGCAATAGACTCTTGGAAGTGCTACAAGGCTTGTGGACTACTGTCGGGTAATGACAGGGTCCAGAAGGAGTCTTATTCAGTGAGGGAGTTTGTCGACATAATGCCAATGAAGCCTCGTGACAAGGGACTGCTGCATTCTTATCTTAATTCCATAGGAGCTGCAGTCAAGACACATATTGCCATATACTTAATGGAAAAGGGATCTTATCAGGTAATAGAATAGGAACTATACTTAACTAACAAAGGTACCTTCGGTAAGCCGAGACTGACAGTGGCTCAGATACGTATATGTCCCTTTAAACCTCTACCCGTTTTTGATTTCACTTTCCATGTTCTTTTCCATGTGCTTCTCCAGTATTGATGTAAGGTTCCCTAAACCCTGACCCCTACACTAAACCCTCATCCCCTAATCTGAGGGTCCCTTAAATAAGCCTACTGTTGGCCTATCTTTCTGTAGGGTTTTTGATGGGAACCTTTGCCTTGACCAACTCCCATCTGTCCTCCCAGCCTCAGCCTGAAATTCAAGTCCTTCATCACGAGGCTCCAAAGTCTGGATTGCGGCTAAGGAACTTAAAGCTAAGTTACTATACTAGGGGAAGACCATGATTTACTATATACACATATTTTGGTAACTTAACTTTAAGTTCCTTAACAGTAAGGGAAACCTTATGATTTGCTATATACCCATATTTTGGAAACTCTGTTTTTAGGTTCCTTAACGGTAGCCCAGAAGTTGCGTGAAAGCACCGGTGCTGTCATTGCTGTTATACAGGGTTTAGGGTTTAGGGATAGAAGATGGGTATGGGAATGGATAGGACGATGGAAGCTAAATGCTGGCGGGGGCTATACAGTGCCTACTCGATGTTGTTCACTATAAGGGTCCAAGGGTCCAAGTATGAAGGTCTCAGGCACTGATTAAAATCCGATTGCTAGATTCGGGGTTCTCAAGCTCCTTTACTCGGGTACTTGGACACTTGTCGGGGTTGCACGAGGTACTTAATAACCCTAGACTGGCCCAAATCCCGTAATACATATCCGAAGTACCTCATCATTGGGTACTTGGACCCTTAGGGCTAGAGGCGGATGTGCCAACCAGTTGTATGTCATGGTAGGAAACGGTTGCTGCACACAGTGCACCTGGCCTTGCATCGCTGGTATAGTAGGGCTTATAGTCCCCCTTAAGTAGATAGAATATGGCTCAGGGTATAGTATAATAAGATCCCCATATACTATTCTATCTACTTAAGGGGGACTATAATGTTTAGAGAAGCTACATGTTCTTAGGGATGCCCCCTCCGCCGTGAACATGTCAGATAGAATCAGAGCCCGAATTCTACGAGGCTTCAAAGGACAACCCTGCATGTGGGACAGGCTCTACAAAGGATTCTGATTTGGTAGTTTCCCCCAATACACTGCAATCCCAACAAAGTATCCCTAAGCCCTAAACCCCAACCTTTATCCCCCCGTTTGGAATCTCTCCTGGACCCGCTGCCACCTTTCGCATCTCGGAGTGGGTGCCGGTCATGAAGGTCTCAGGTAGGGGCAGATCCATGCAACTACCGTTGATACTAGAAATCATGCATGACCTTAAAATACTATAGTACCATAATTTTCTATGTATAAGGTACTTAGGGTCATGCAGGACGTTTAGTATCCACCGTAAGGTGTTGAGAGTATGTGAGGTCGTCTCCCGGGACTATGAGGGAATATCCTCCAGGGGAAAATAAAGATCTTCAAGCCGGCTAGTTGGATGTTTGGGGCTTGAGTGTGGAACTCTGCTGGTTGAGATTTTGTGGGTGAGTTGTTGCGGGTAATGCGGCTTGCTGTGAAAAGTTTCTTGGACGGTTTGAGCCCTCCGGCATCCTAGAACGCGAGGAACGCCAAATCCCAAGCCGACCCTCAGCTCCTAAAACCTCATCAAGCCAGAAATGCCTCCATAGTAATGGGTACACTCAGAAAAATGACATGCGGAAGTGCAGACACCACACAAACCATGCCTCTCCGCATACCAGAAACTCACACTTATGCGCGCCAAGAGGCCATGTAGTGGTGGTTGTAGGCCCAGTTGATCGGAACGGACACATCCTTTGAATCCAGGCATGCGAATCCAAGTATGCCAGGGCTATTTGCATGTGTAGGTGCTGCGCAAAGTAATCATGGTGATGACAG